GGCACGTGCCTCGACGGACTTTTTTTCAGATTCTAGTTATCTACCGCCGAAGCTTAAATGCTGACACAGGATCAGGAAAGTTGGAGACAGTATCTGAAGTTGATGCCTGCGCGACACGGAAGGAAAAGCAGCCGCTGATATTGACTATTTGGAAGTTTTTGTATACAACGCTGCAAGAAAATCTGACGCTTTACTGACTCTAATAAAGCGCCTTTAGGTTCGACAGGGATGAGATAGAAGAAGGGGCGATATCTGAACTGCTAGAGTACCCCTCGTCAGTGTAACAAATCCCCCGGCACGGCATAGAAAAACTACCTCAAATCTACTGAAACTACGAAAGAGGTTAATTCAAGTGTATCCATTCGATCATTTACATTGTTCAGAAGTGCACACTGCATTTAAAGGCTATGATCCACTAGTCTCGGCTGAATTTGGCAACATATCGAAAATATGCTGAGCGAAGACAACGAAAAATTTTAGAAGTGAAATTTGTATGCACCTCGACTGGTAGAACGTCAGATTTGTAATTCAAGAAGCACTGACGTTAAAAACGATGGTCTTGCAGGTTACAGAGGAGAAAGTAAATTGAAAAGAGCACGTAAAGAACGAAGATCCTATGTCTAAGCAAAGTGCGTTAAAGAGGAAAAATGACTGTGACTAATATCAGCGTTAGTTGATAAACAGCTAAAAGGAAGACATCCTTCTTCCTGTGAGTTACTCTTTCGGCAAGGGAAAACTAACATCTGACTTCAGACCATATTACGGAACTGGAATTAAGATATTTCTTGGGATGACGCAGAATTAAATACTAGTCTCTCGGAATTTATTAAATACCACCTCAAGAACTGCAGGCAACAGGAGAGGAGACAAACAGTAGATAACAGCATCATAAACTAAATTTTCATGAAATTAATGCAAAACGTACCGAATAATCCACGTCTTCAATGCCAAACTTTTCTCTGATGCTTCTGAACACGTTTGGGCAATATTCTTTCACTTTAAAATGACTAGACATGTTATCCCTTAAGCAAAAAAAATCCGTAAAAATGGATACTATTCGTCATCTTACAGAAACACTAATAGTCAAGGTTTAAAATTACATCTACATCACAGAAGCCATCAAAACGGATATTTCGCAAACAACGATACAGTGAAAAAGTACATACTACATAAAATTAAATTTACATTCCTGATTGAAGAAATTTCCAATATACATAGTGAAATATTTCTTTAGTAATTTTAACTGCAGTCTAAACAGAAGACAGCCAATAATACGAATGGTAAAAACTGCAATAGACGATGTATAAACTTGATCGATGGTGGAAACCAAAAAATAAGGCAAAAACGTGTAGAAACTAGTCATCGTGTCGTCATTTTAATGAACTGAACAAACATTTGTCAGTTTCAGAATTTAGTCTTTTAGAAAGTTATGTATCATGAAAATAATGTCGCGGAGCGCCAGGCAATTACAACTATTGTAAATTCATCATAATTGTTATCACTATTACCATGGAGTGCGTAACAGAGTTAACCCTCGATACGCGACATACTTTTATCCGCATCACCTCCACCAAAATAAATTGTCAAGTTCTCTTCAACGAGAAAACCACCTTAATTACGGCAATGCTTAATCCAATACTATACTTTAAACAAAGACAATTAGCCAAGCAGATACAGAAGAAACAACTGGCATATGTTCTGTGGTTACGGCGAAATTCCGAATCATAAATAGACAGACTTACTTATTAAAAAAGTGATTGTCTACTTTCACTTTTGAAAACGCTTTGAAGTCGCCGGGCATCAACAGCCGAGGGGGAACAACGTGACTCAGTTCGGTAATCTAAAAGGTTTTGCTATAATGATGTGCAACAAACCATAACAGAGGCATTGCAGTACTGATTAATGAGAAAAGCGTTTGGTAAACAGTAGTATTGTGAAGACTAACGCACAGTCGCAAACATAATCTTCATCGTAAATTTCTAAGTGAACACCTCTTCATGGAACAAGTTCAGATGCCAGAATCTTGCTTAAATAATTTAAAATGATAATTCGTTAAGCAACAAGATTTCATCATAGATTAACTGACCTTATGAGGAAGCGAGCAGGCTAACGTCATAAATGTGACGACTATTGCATTTTTTCCTAAACTCACTACTCACTTGACTTGTACAATTTAACCCAAATTAGCATGATGCGAAACTGCTACAATATTTTTTCTCAGAGAAATAGCTAGTAAAGAGCTTGAAACATTTAGACGGGCAACAACGCTTCCCCTTTGATTTTTTAGCTGAACCGCGTCTAGCTGTTTTCTGTGATAGTTTTCCTTGAACATCACGTAACAAATCGATTATCACTGTACATTTTAACACAACACTTTATGACAATTCATTATCTTCATGATTCTTCCTGAAAAGCAAATATTCATCCTAACTAGCTACCTGATTTAATCACCAAACAAACATGATAGGGTAACGACGTCAAGAGCGCGAGTAACGAATGATTAATACTCAACTGTTTTGTCATCGTAATTACATCAGTTTGCTTTTTTTGATAAATTATCGATTACCTTAAGCCGTTTGCATAAGCACGTCGTCTCTAAATTGTGATATCTGCTGTATTCGCAGCTTCTCAAAATTTTTGTTATAAAGTAATGGAGGCGAGAGCGATTCATGATGTGTGTTCATTTCCGTTTTGAAGTCATCACCAGAAATGCTTTCTTCATAAAATCAATGTCAACAACTGTTTGAGAACCGAATAGTCTGATGCCACTTTTCATGAAGTAGTACTCGCAGAAAATTGATAGGCCTGCGGCCCATCCGAATTTCGAAACCACAATCTTTCGAAAGA